ATGAGCAAATTACGTTTACCTTAAGTCAGGTATGAATGTCAGACCAAGGTCAAAACCAACTTGTTTTATTACTCTAGGGCTTGCTGTATGGTACAGTTTCTGCTGCTCATTTCGAATCTGTCGATAGCAGCAACCACATTGTACATCTTCCATTGACTTGTTAGAGGTCAGAATAGGTCATTGACCTAAGATGACACAGGTCGACATTTTGTCTTTTAGCAGCATGCTGCCTAGTGTTATCTTTGTTGCTCATTCAAATGCAAAACTCTTGGCAGTCTTGTATTATTTTGGTCACCATGACCTTGAACAAGTCAAACAAGGTCACTGACCTTAAATGAGTCTGTGAACTTTCGCTTAGGAGCAGTTATCTAGGTTCTGGAGCACTTTGGAGACCAACCTAGAATTTAACCTTGATTGACATTGTTTACCAGATTAAAACTTTCACCCAACCGAGTTCATGTATAGGTCAACATATTCTGTAAATTTGGTGTATCTAGCTTTCTTAGTTTCCGAGATCTCAGGGGGTGAAATTGACCCCAGCACCCCAGCGAGGGGTATCTAACGGGCCACCCGGGTGTGTGTTAATGCTCAAATGTTCAATGTTGCGTCGAGTTGGAGGGGGACGGCTGCCCCTTTAAATCGCCGCCCGCAGGAAGAACCGCTGGTGTCCTGGCTTTTGGTGTCCCGGCTGTGACTTGGTTTGTAAAGGACAGTCCACAATTTTATGACTTTTGTCACCTTGTTTTTGGCGGTTTCAAGCTTTTGAATTTGTTTCCGCTTAAAATTCCGCGACAGGTCTTATCTCTTGAACGACAGCCACCGAAATAAAGGCGCATGAAAAATCTGCCGCACTGTCAGGCATTCATTCACTTTCAAAATTGTCACCACCGTATGTCCAGGGCGTATTTCGGCATCTACCCTTTTGAGGCAGGTGCATCCTCGATGACCCAAAATGTCTGCCTGCTCGTGGAATTTTGACTGCCCAGGAAAGACAATGTAAAAGTGGACGGAAAATCTTAGGAAGCTGGAAAGCATCATTCGTCGAATGACAGATGGATCGCATAAGCAAGATTGTTTGCCAGTAAGAAACGGCTTTAGAGAGACTTTTAGCATCGCAGCCATGGCATTTCAATAAAGAGCGATAACAACGTCTATTGCCCTCCCCCGCCCCGGTCATCAGGCTTCCTTCCCAGAAAAATTGATCAAAGTACGCTCTGAGCTTGGCCTCCCTACTTTTTGAAGCGTTCTTAAGCCCATGCATCCACACTAGACATATGTTGCATGAAGCAAACAAATACCTTTTTTAGGTACCACACCAAGATAGCAGCCAAAATGCTGCCACAGAGAATTGACAACCATGTCGGGAAAACAAAAATCTTACTCTGCCCCTTCCATGGGTTGCCGTGAAGGTCAACTTTTTCGATGAACTTGTTTCTATGGTAGCATGAATTGCGTTATGTTTTCAATACATGAGAAGGGGGTGCTAGTAGGCTAACGTGGCCTGGGCTGGGCTTCATTTGGACTGCGGCCTTGCTCGCAGTCAACATGATAAAACTGCCTACACCCGGAAATGAGCTACATACTTCAGTCACGGTTGAAAAGCATGCGGTGAGTTTGGCACATCATCACAACGGCGCGTTGGGTGAATAACTTACGTGGTCCGGCGCGTATGGTAGGCCCAGCGTTCTTCCTACTGCCGTTCACAACCTCAAGCGCAGCCGGGCAGCAGTCGTCGGAGCTCCCCCGGCGAATCCGAAACACGCAGTTATGCACAACAAACTGATTTACGCAATGTAGTTGCATTGTGTGCGCACATCCGTGCATTGTATGTGTGCAAGTGTGTGTCTGGAGAGAGAGAGACAGAAAGAGAAAGAGAGAGAGAGAAAGAGAGAGAGGGAGAGAGAGAGAGAGAGGGAGAGAGAAAATTGGGGCAAGGGGGAGGAAGCGTTACCGCGAAGAGAATGTCGGAGCAAATAAACAAAGAATCCCTTACGTTTCAGACCAAAAGTGTGCCGTCCGAGAAAACCACGTTTTCGACGCAGCGGTCAACTGTTTCAACTGCTGTGTACTTACCCAGGCCCATTGACGGTTGCTGACTCTTTGGCAGTGCCGAGAGGCTCAGGACAGGTTCTTCTTGTCATCCATGCGGCGCCCTGTGGGCTTGAACTAGGTCATCGGCACTGTGGCTGTGGCTTTGTTACCGTCTTGGATCTGTCCTTGTCGTCGCCTGTGGTCTGTGGAAGCAAGGTCAACATATACATACATATACACACACACACACGCATATACATATATCTATATCTATATCTAAATCTATATCTATATCTATATCTATATCTATATATCCAGGTTTGTTAAACGCAAGGGCGTATATACATCTAATATTCTTCTTGTGTGTTTGATCGAATGCTCGAGTTCTACATTGCTAACTGCTTAGAGTGAGTGCTGATCCCAGAAATGTATCCATTCAACGTGTTCGGATCAAATTTACCGAAAAAGAATGCTAACAAACCAAACAGCGTAAGACTTTCATCGATAAAAGACTGCGCGGTGCTAGCCAACAACTCAATATCATTGACTCACCCATTTAATAGACTCAGTAGGCTGGGCTCCCAGACGATCAGTATACCTTTTCGACTCATTTATCCATCTACTAACTCTTTAGCAAAAGGTGATAGATTGCTGCAGGTAGGTTTGCTACCTATATAATCTATTACGTCGACTTCGCAAACGTCTTACCCAGGGAACGAAAATGTTAGACTTCGTTCGCAGTGCTCGAGCGGTGCAAACAGTACAGAAGGTGTATTAATAGCCTAGGAACCCGATCAATTGCTTCCTAAGTGAGCGGTGACAGGCAGGCGGTGCCGAGACTTTTCATGCCACTCATGGCTGACCTGTGTTGAATGGATCAGAATTCATTGCCAATTTATATATATATATATATATATATATATATATATATATGTATATACATCAAATATATATATATACATATATGTAACATATAGTATACATATATTATATATATATATATAATAGATATAATATATATACATATATAGTATACATATATATTATAATATATATATATATATATATATATATTATATATATATATATATTATTATATATAGATATATATATATATATATATATATATATATATATATATATGCATATTTGTATATATAATTACGAGCAAGCCTTCTCAGAGGGCACTTTTCGGTGAATACGATAGTGTGCACTGTCTTCTTTTGACTTCGTAAATATCTTGTACCGAGGTTTCATGTTATGATCAAGCTTAAAAGAGCTTGGTTCAAAATTGGGTGTCAAAAAACGGTCATCAGTCATATGCCATCGTGAATGTGACAGTTCAAGGCGTCAAGGACGACTATCAACGCACATACAGATATTACAAGCTGCAAAAAGACGCTATGCACATTGGAGACACAACGGCCTCCTCTTGCACCTCTGATCTCCCACCTTCACTTTTGCGACCACGCTACATCAAACGAAGACAGCTCATAGCCACGATCTTACTCGAGCTGACCTTACAGAGGAACAGCCCTGCTCTGCCCGCTATCTCTGCATCCTGGTCTGGTTCCAATGCCGAGAATGGAGCAGCCGGGCGGCCTCTCCAACCTCGCCTGGTCTGTCGTATTCCCCCCATCCCGCAGTGCCTGGGTGCCATGCGGTACAGTCTACATCCGATCCCCACTGAGGGCCTCTTGCGGTCGCCGTTTGTTCGCCACGGAGCGTTTACTTCGCACAGCAGCCCAAGATGTCCGACCACTCCGTCTGCACCCGCGAGTACGTTATATGCATGTGTGCATTTATATATATATATACACACACACACACACACACACACACACACACAAACCACATCGACATCATTGAGGACGTATCGTTAGCTATAGCCAATGGCTTTTATAGGATGTCGCTTGTCAGTGCTGACAGCAGCTTGCAAACGCAGCGATGGCGGCGGCCTTTATGATGTTTTTTTGTGTTGTTCACATTCATTTCGGGGTTGTGGGTGTACGGGGTTGGACGTATGGTAAAGCTGGTCAGCTGATACATCCCGCGATTAATTCATGTTGGCCTTATTTATAATCAGATAAGGCACAGGTATTGTATCTTGTTAATCGGCTGCACTAGGCTCCAGGGAAAATGTAATTGTTCTACATTGTTTTGGCAGCGGTTATAAGCGGATAAAATTCCTGTACCCTAAAATGAATGACCAAATTCCGAATGCACGTGCACCATCTTCAACGTAGGAAATAACAAGGCACATGTGCTGAAATTGTTTCTGCGATGTCGCTGGTACGCCAGGCATGTTTAGGATATCACATTTTTCCGTCTCGAATCACGCAAGGGACCTTCAAGCGCGTACCGCCCTTTACTGCCAGCACTCCCTCTATACTCACGAGGCCGTAGCAACCAAGATAACAGCCATGTCACTAGCGCACAGTTACGGACCACATATAATCCAGTGCGTTCGTCTTTTCTTGCCCACTGATTGGCTCATTTTTTAGCATTGCATTTGTTCACGCACAGCCATCGATGCGATAAAAAAACTAACTAAACACTGTTGCAACACCCAGACGTACACAAAAGAAACAGAATTAAAAACAGATAGTTTCAAATCTCCCCAAAGCGTGCATTTGGAAAGCCGAAAGCAATAGACACTCTCCCTTTCACAGAAAAGAGCGCGGGGTAAATAAATTTGCGTGCGTAGCCAACATCCCACGCTAAGCGAACAGTGGTCCGCTTAAATGCAACGCTTGGTACACGCTCAAAAAGCCTCAGCCTCATCAACGATGCTCTCTCTCTCTCTCTCCCCCCCCCCCCCCCTCCCCCCCCCCCCCCCCCCCCCTCTCTCTCTCTCTCTCTCTCTCTCTCTCCTCTCTCTCTCTCTCTCTGTCCACTCAAACAGAGGCCAGAAAGCCCAGACTGTCCAGGATCCATCGGACGTGCAGCAGCACCGGCGCGTACGACACCTATGCTCCCGGCAGGCAGGACTCTTTCTGCGTTGGCCGCATGCTGGCCACGCCCATCAGGAAGAAGGCCGAGCCGAACTGGTCGGGGGCCACCAGGGGCGCGCCCAGGTCAGTCACGCACGGCGTGCCAGAGCCTAGACAGCGGTTTGGCTCGCCGTCCGCCTCCGACAGCAGCCGGTACTGGCACGGCTCCGGGCCATAGTAGCTGGTGTTGTACACAGCTAGCTTCTCTTCGTCCATCACGTGCGTGGTGGTGCTCCTCTGGCGGCTGCACTCGCGGCAGGTGGCAGCACCGTCGGACGCCGGCGGAAGCCCACTGTGCAGGCCCATCGTCAGCGGAAACAGGCGATGCGGCTGGTGGCGCAGTGGGAACATGGGCAGACAGATGGGCTGCACGCCGTGACCCAGCGTCACCGGCTGCGACAGCTGCACCAGCGGCACGTCGAAGCGGCTCGTGTCGCCGCCGTGCTTGACAAAGTCGGGGTGCACGGTGAGCGAGTGGACGGCCACGTCCCTGGCCTCGGTGCGCAGGGTCGGGTCGTACCAGACACAATCTCGCCGGCTGCTAAAGTCGTACTCGCCCAGTCTGACCGTGCTGAGCATGTAGCCACGGGTACCGAGTGCGCAGCGGGCCGACGTGACTACGTGCTGGTCGCTGATGAGCGCGCCCGAGCACGAAAAGATGACGCGGCCGTCGGGTCCTGTGAAGCCGAGCGCCACCAGCCACGGGTGGTCGCCCTCGACGGGGAGGCCGCAGCCGAGTGGGCCGCGGTTCATCTGTGACTCGGAGCCGCTGCCCCAGAAGCGCAGGTCGAGCCGGCCCACCGCCGGATGGTTGGCCAGACCTGGCAGCAGCATGGTCTGCCGCTTCTCCATACTGATGCGCCGCCGGGCCAGGTCGGCCCCCAGCGCCAAGCCCGCCACCAGCAGCAGCACTGTGCACAATTGTACTCCACACATTGCTTGCGTCCGTTGCAAGGTGTGCCACTTACTCGAGCGTCGTCGCTTAATAACGAAGCCGCATTTTGGTCACATGACGTAGACGTCACAGCCTCTGGCCATTCGCAACCTCAGGCGCAGCTGAGCAGAAGTCGCTGGAGTTCCCCCGGTGAATCCAAAACAGACAGTTATGCATTATGAACAGATTTTAGCCATGCAGGTGCATTGTGCGCGCACATCTGCGTACTGTATACGCGGAAGTGTGTGTCTAGAGACAGAGAAAGGGAGAGCGAGAGAGAGAAAAGAGAGAGTGAGAGAGAGAGAGGAGAGAGAGAGAGAGAGGGGGAGATAATGGGCTAAAGGGAGGAAAAGTTTCTGCAATGAGAATGCAGGAGCAAATAAACAAAGACCTTGTTATGTTCCAAACCAAAAGTATGCTATCCGCTAGAACCACGGTTTCGACCCAACGGTTAACTTTTTTCATTTACTATGCACTTGGTGACAAGAGTTTTAGGGCTCAATGATTAGAGGTATTGATCACTCGCCCAGGACAGGCTCTTCTTGTCAGCCGTGCGGCGCCCCCTGGGCTTGAACTAGGCCACTGGCACTATGGCTGCGGCTTTGTTATTGTATTGGATCAGTCCTTGTCCTCGTCTGTGGTCTGTGGAAGCAAGGGAAGTCCACGCCCTCACCAGCTGCGCAGTCGGCCATGAATGTTTGTCTGCTGCAGGGGCACATGCGTCCGGCTGTGCGAGGAACAAACAGCTGTGGCAACACGGAGCGCAGGCTTCAGGGCTTTATCACCAGGTACTAATGTCGCTAAAACATAACTTTGCTTCAAATCTTTAGGCACACCACTACGTCACATAAACAACTTGAAATTCCTAAAACATGTATATGTATATGCATGCACACGCTCACTTATATATATATATATATATATATATATATATATATATATATATATATATTCATTTACAAGCATAGATAGATGGATGTCTTCAACATATGTATTTTTCAGCTACCTTCTCATAGCAATTACTGCCAGGAACATGAGAAGTGAAGCTCACGTGTTCAGATACATGCTCACATACAGCCGGGTGCAGTCATGGTGTCGGTGTTCAAATATGGTCACGGAGCGCGGCGTGAGCGAGCGTGGGTGGAGTGGTGCCGATGATCGGCAGTGCCGGGCAGACGCGACTAAGGAGAAGAGCTGGTGCTGGGTGCCACCCAGCCAGGTACTTGAAGGGTACCTGGCTGGCTGGACGGACTCACCAACGTATCTGCTGAAGAATCCGTTCAGGTGACACAGTTGGCTAGGGCACTTGTCTTCCGATCCACCCACACGTGGCGGGCTGGGTCCGGGTCGCTTCAGGCGTCGCTATTTGCCTTTCATAGGCATGGCTCGCGACCGGAGACAGCAGACGCGCTAAAGGTTAGTGACGTCAGAAAATAGGACAGGACATGCCGAGCATTCCAGCGCGGTGAAGTTTTGCCACGTAATTCCGCCGTCGCCTGAAATTGCCCGATCAGATGGTAGCGGTCAGGGCTCACACAACAAGCACTGCGTAGCGTGAGCTCTGAACCCAGAAATGCATCTGTTAAAAGCGTTTGGATCAAACTTTGAAAAGGAAAGAGCCCGGCGCTGAAAAGCCTCTGCGCTCGTGACAAACATCGCACGCCAACCGAACGGTGGTCCGCTTAAATGCAGCGCACGGTACACACTCAAACAGTCGTGCCGGCGCACACCGTCAGCCACGCTGGGTCAGCCGAACAAACTGCTGAGCAGGCGAGGCGTGCTGACGACATCGGACACCCATCATCACCAGCCGGATGGTAAAGAATGATGTCCTCCTCTGCACTTGGCCAGGGGACGGTCGGACGCTCTCCTCTCTCTCTCTCTCTTCTCTCTCTCTTCTCTCTCTCTCTCTCTCTCTCTCTCTCTCTCTCTCTCTCTCTCTCTCTCTCTCTCTCTCTCTCTCTCCTCTCTCTCTCTCTCTCTCTCTCTCTCTCTCTCTCTCTCTCTCTCTCTCTCTCTCTCTCTCTCTCTCTCTCTCTCTCTCCCCGCACCCGCAGACGGACTGCACAATATGTGGCATGATGTGGACTTTGACCAGGAGTTTCAAGAGGTTGAAACTAAAGTGGTCCTAAATTTGAGTATGGTGAGAGATGCTAAGCCTTCGGGAGGCTCAAATTGACCCCCCCCCCCGAAAGGTTTTTCCAGAATGGTTTCCGCACGGCGCGGCGTAGCCGCGTCAAATTTTGCATAGCTGTAGATAATTGAATAGCAGATCGCTTGGTATCAAGAATTTAGACGTACACTTGTAAGGTCGTTTACTTATGGCAGGTCAAAATCAGGCTATGGTTTTAGCGAAGGCAATTTCTAGGAAATCCTTCAAACTGATTCCAACAATGGAGTGTGTAGACGAAGCAATACATCTCTGAGATGCTTTCGTAGGCAACATAACAGTTGAATGAGTAAATTGCATGACCTAAGGTCAGGTATGAAGGTCACACCAAGGTCAAAAACCTACCTGTTTTGTTACTCTGGGGCTTACTATCTGGGATAGTCTCTGGTGCTCATTTAGAGTTTATTGATAGCAGGAACCGCATTATACATCTTCCATGGACTTCTTAGAGGTCAGAATGGGTCATTGACCTAAAATGACCCATGTCAACATTTTGTTTTAGGAACATACTGCCTAGCATAATATTTGTCGTTTAGTCAAATGCAAAGCTCAAAGCAATCTTGTATGATTTTGGTCATCTTGACCTTTAAAAAGTCAAACAAGGTCACTGACCTTGAATGGGAATGTGATATTTTGCCTAGAAACGGTTATCTAGGTTCTGGGGGTATTTTGGAGACCAACCTGGAATTTGACCTTGCTTGACCGTTTTTGACCCGAAGGTCATAATCTAGAAACGTGGAACTTTGACCTGAGTGATTTCACGTATAGGTCAATGCACGCTGTAAATTTGGTGTCTCTAGATCTCTTGGTTGCCGAGATCTCAGAGGGTCAATCGAAACCCCTTCACGCAAGCGAAGGGTATTAGCCGGCCACCCGGGCGCGTGTTAAGTGATCAACTGTCAAAACGCTTCCAGTCCTCACAATGACCACTGGCTGTCGTCACACACAGCACGGCGAAGGTCACGCTCCAGCATATCTTACACACCAGAAGGCCAGGATCGGGCTGGAGGCAATTGCATACTATAGCAGGACAGAGCGCGTTGGTTCATTGGAAGAAACATCTGCAGATCAGGATATCCGGAGTAGGAGCTCTTTTAGCGGTTCCAAACTGCGCAATGTCGATGGGGCGTTGGTTCTCGGTACTCGTGTAACACACTCACACGGCCACAGCCGGATGTCAGCTTACGCCACCGACGGACGGACGCCAGATCTGGATCGTCCGTCAACACCAC